GGGATGTTCAGCAAGATCCTTCAGAATAAAACAACAATGGATTTTTTTTGTGTGTGTCTGTGCTGGAGGTCAGGGTAGACCAGACAGGGTTAGTGTCAGTCCGTCCTGTAGATGAGGTCAGGCTGGTCAGGACACCAGTGAGGACAGACCACTTCCCTGTGGCAGGCAGAGATGCTTCCTCTCTTTTCTAATCATATGACGCTGCCAGAGGTTCCCTTTTTACAGGAAGCAGCAGACGATGCCGTTTCACAACAGCCGGGCCGAGAGTATTTATAAAGCTGAGTGTTGTCTCTTTTTAACATTTAGGACAAACAAAAGTTTACATGATTAATTGGAAAAACTTGATGCAAGAAGCCCAGTGACAACTCAATAACACAGTGTTGGGTCTGCTTATATAATCAAGTGCAAGAGTTCAATACTTTCACACAGAACGACAATGTTCCGCAGTAAAAAAGTGAGTTTTTTTTTTAACAGGGTTCATTTTTCTGAACTTTTGCACAGCAAATAAAAGGCGTCAACAAATCACGATGTGCGGAATGCTTAAAGTTACACCTATATTTATGAAAACAACAATAACACGGAGGTCTAAACCAAGATGGCAAACTTTATTACTCCTTTCAACCTTGACAAAGGCAGCGCAGATCCACTCCTTCACTTCTTTCCTTTCATAATAACAGCCATAGACATATAATATTGAACAATGAGTACTTTAACTTTGGCTACCTGCTAAACATTTTACAGCCGATACTTGTTTACTAAAAATGTTGTGCATGACTTCACCTTGTAAGTATTTTTTCATTGCCAGTTTTCCTTAGAGGATTTAAATACCTGGTGTTAGGTGGTTGTGGTGACTGCGCCTATGTAACACATGTATTACCTCTACAATATTCATGTACATGTGTCCACACACAGGCTGATGACTCGTTAGAGCCTAACCATCAAAACAGCACAAGACATTTACGACCAGCCTCGGAGGGACGCTGTCTCGTCATTAAGAAACCGCACACACGATTCTCAACCCTGTCACCCTTTGAGTCATCTTTGCTGTCTGTAAAGTAACAACCCTCTCAGTATCTGCTGATTCAGAACACCCTCCTTCTATCTCTTCCTCTGCTGCTTTTGCATATCTTTATCACATGAGATTAATGAGCCTGTAGTCTCAGATCAACATGGGTGGAGGCTCTTATGTCATAGAGTATGTCCTGACCTGATAGGGCTTCAACACACTGCCAGTCCATAGTTGTGTGGTACTTTGTGTGAGGATGGCACAATAGGCAAACCTATAAACTTTGTATCGTGGCCTTTATGTACGTGTGTGAGGCCCTGTGTTTGTATGAGAACTTTAATGTGCTGTACTGTGCAAACTTACAAAAAACAGTTTGAACTTTAGACTTCTTTTGGCAGAATGAGGGCATTTGCGGTTTTTATGTCAGTGATTCAATTGAAGTTTAGGTTTCAGGGAATGAATGTAGTCAACGGTCAACTTGAGGCAAGACGAATGTGTGTTAGGCAGTAAAAATGGCTTTGTGCTGTGAACGGTATGTTTTCTGACACAGTTGGTGGTCGTTGTTTTTGTGGGGTCATGATCTGAACGCTGCTTGTCTAAGCAACACTCACTTCTTCTCTAGGCAACAGATGTTAATGTTAAATCTAGAGTTTCTCTTGACCGTATACCTTACAAGTAAAAGTTAGATCAAAGTTAGTTGGCTTGTTAAAAACCTCTTAAAATCCTTAAAATGTTTTCATTGAACTCATTAAAAAAAGGACCCCAAGAGATCCACTTAGTGATAGCAGATGTTATGTTTTCCACTTCTATTTCTCACAGCTGTCCTTTCTCCACTACTCCTGTCTTTCCTCATAGTTTGAACCATCGTAGCCTCACCTTAACACTACATTTCTGTTTGCAGAAGGGTCGGAAATGGAAAGAGTGCGTAGGCTTATATGCGTTTTGGAAGATGGGGACACTTTGTTTTGATCCAAAGTGTTGGGTGTTTCAGTAATATATTACTTTTAGCAGTAATGAAGAAATAAAACGCTAGGATTTCGTTAATATTATTACATGAATTTAAGTCTTTATTGTTTTCATCATTCATCCACAACAGCGCCACCAGGAACAAAAGTCATATTGCCGAAATTTGACGGCTGAGGAGTCAGACACGTTTTCTAAATGGGTATACCAGCCTTACTCTGTTTATCATATTGATTAGGCTTTACAATATCGCCCACAACTGGATTTGTAATGAACTGCAATAAACCTGAGCTTCTGTTGTTTAAATACTTGCTATAAAATTACCCTCTTCCATTTACAACACATTGTTCTACACAGACAGTAATTAAACAACTTAGCACCTTGCCAAACACTGGTCCTCACATCTACATATGAAGGGTTAACCTTGGTTTCAGGCTTGAGATTAGACTAGGTTTGGGATTGGGTTGGGGTTAGGCATGCAGTTGGGGTAATTAGGGAATGTGTTATATCAATAAAAATCCTCAACCACAAAACACACAAATATGTGTGTTCTTGTGGCCTAAAAGCCTCCGTTCCAGCCAGTGTTGACGTTCCAAGAGAGTTCCTCTCTCATGCTTTTAATTCGTTTCTTAGGTAAGCTCTGTTCTCTGTCTCAACATGTGTTTGTGACTATGTATGTGTATCGAGCTGCCAACGGCATCATCATCATCATCAGTAAGTGGTTACACACAATGCACTAACAGTCTGCTTCTACTTTAATCTGAAAGCAAATTTATGAGGAAATTTGACTGGAAATGAAATGTTCCGTGTCCTTTAAACACCTCTTAAACCTGACTGGACGGAAAGGCGAGGTTCAGGCAGCTTTTACAGCTCTACTGTTACTACTTCCCCTCACGGAAGTAACTGGGGGTTTTCTTAATTGGCACCAGCCTTCAATAATACAGTCGTTTATTAATGATTGTTTACTTCACCAGCAGAAACGTCACAGCTGCTCTCACACATTCATGAAAAAAAACTAGTGAGAATATAAATCAAGGCATGTAAAGACGTTGTAAAACGAGTACAGGCATGCAGCACACGCATGTGGTTGTCATCGGCCCTGTATGAGCCTTTGATGTGTTTACTTCAGGATGTCCATGTTTTGTATTTTGTGTTGACAGTTAATATCTTCAGATTTTTCACTTTCATATCAATGAAGTCCAATTTATTTCTTCATGCACTGTATAAAAAAGTTAAAGACAACTGAAAGCAACTTTCCTCCCTGAACTTTAGATTTGTGTTTGTCCAGGATAAACTGGAGGGAGTTGTCTCTTTCTCTCAGCACAGCTCCACCCAGACTCCCTCGGCTTTTGTTCCAATATCTGGCAAATGCTGACGACAAGTTGGAAATCAAAATCCATTAAAGAAACATTAGGATGACATCACAAGTTTTAGCATTTTTCTAGTTCCACGGCTATCATCCAAGTGTCAGAGGCTCATTCATGTGTAGGGATCACATCAGTGCAGAGAGCAATCACAGACCTGTTCACGTGCATTTGAAGATGTCTCTCTCTCCTTTCATACTTCCACAGTTTGGACTTTTTTTTTTTTTTATCTCTGGCGGTGCTTTGTATATTTCATTGTTACTTTTATTGAGGTAATATCATATTTAGTGATTGTACATGAAATAAGGAATGGTAATTATTCATTATACATCGACATGAATTATTATTCGTATTTTCAGACTGAAAGCAGTGTTTGTTGTCGGCGTTTTAATGCATGGGCTCACCAAGGCTCAACTGGATGCTCCGCGTATAAAAAAAGACAGCGAGGCAACGACACGACTTGCCAAGAGATCATTTTTCTAGCGGCTGTTTGATACAGTCTGCCTACAGTGATCCTGCCTGCACCGTTTAGTGATGCATTCTGTGACAAAGAGGTATGTAGAAGATTTCATCTGGGTGACAAAATGATGGTCATGTACAGAATACAGCGTGAATATGATACATAGCTGGACTACTCCCAGATTGTATCTGGTTCAAACAGCCCCTGGATAATGTTTCAAAAAGAGGTGAACTTTGGTTGTTTGCTCAGTAGAATGGCATCGTCAAACAATTACAGGATACTTTGTGTGTGTGTGTGTGTGTGTGTGTGTGTGCACTTCCTTCCTTAATGTGCAAGGCTTTGAGTTAGCTCTCTCAAGGAGAGGAAGGGAATGATGAGTGGTATAAATAACAATTTGACAGGAATTCTCTTGTTTAGACATGCCTATACGTACGTATGTGTGCAGCAAGACAGCAGGGAAATAACTGTGAATGGATCAACAGATTTACAGGCAAGTCATGTTTTGGGTCCGCACTCACAAGCCCACACACCAGCAACCCCTATTCTTTTAACACACACACACACACAGCCTCAGAGAAAAGCAGGGGATTCCGATCCGTCACAGAGATGACATCACAGCCTGCCAGTGATAAAAACAGCTAAACAAGGGAGTCCCCACTTCCCCTCCCTCCTACACATCCCAGAGAATGAATACAGAGAGAGAGAGAGCAGTGCCGGGGTGAGTGACTCTCATTAGTTCACAGAGAGAGAGAGAGAGAGAGAGAGAGAGAGAGAGAGAGAGAGAG